TGATACAATCCCAATACCTGGAATCACATAACCTCTTGCGGTTCGCATGCCTCTCACCATTCATGACATTCCAGAAATCCCTTCATCTCTGGAATCCACTCCTCCAAACACCCCCACTAGACCAATCATCATTCCTGACTCTCCCACCCCTTCACCTACTAGTCGTCCAGCTGAAAACTTGAGACTTGTCATTGATCCAATCTTGCTGGAAAGACTAGCCTCCACATCCCTCAAAACTGCCATTCCCAAACCTAAACCAACTGAAACCACATCAGATGTTGGTACAAATTTGTTAATTTTTGAAACAAGAATGCATGAATGGATAAATTCTTTGAAGCATGCTAGTCAAGAGGTGACTAATCCTACTGCTTCTGATTATATGCGGACAAGATTCAGAAACTGGCTTAGTTCTGAAACGCTGAAGTTGAAGGAACAGTGTTATGACAAGGTCCAACAGAACTTTAGTGAGAAGCTGAAGGCTTTTCAAGACCAAGTTCTAAGCCAACTGTTCAAGAGAGACATTCTCTCGCTGGATAATGCTCCCTGGAAAGAGCACCATCCCTCTGATGAAGTTGAACCAGAATCAGAAAGTCTCTCCCTAACTACAGCTGCTCTAGAAGACATGATCACAACAGAAGAGATGGTTCACTCAGAAAAAGCTACAGAATGCTCTGAGCAACGTCCAACTCCTGAAGAGACACCAGCTTCCTCCTTAGTCATACAAACTCTGGAAGAGTTTAAGAAAGAAAATGCTTTAATCCATGCAAGGCTGGATAAGCAGGAGGATACAAACAAGGAGATTAAAAGTATTCTGGGTAAACAAGAAGACGCCACAAAGGAAATTAGAGGCATTTTGGGCAAGCAAGAGGAGTCAAATACTCAAATCAAGAGCTTGCTGGAAGTGTTGTTCACACGTCTTCCCCCTCCTTCTTAGATTTTTTTTTTTTAAAAAAAATTGTTTATCTGTAACTTTTAATTTTACCTCTTTGTTTCTGAAACTTGTCATTGCATTATGTTTTAAATATAATTTATCTCTTTTGGCTCTTATTATATTGCCTTTTTGATACATGACAAAAAGGGGGAGAAAGTAAGATATTTTCAATAATGGTTTACCGAGACAGAAGTCTCAAACATTCTGAACTACTTAACCTCTACTTTCTGGAAAGTTTGAACAAGTATAAACTCTGATAGGAGATGCAACTAAAACTCTGATGAGAAGGAACTTAAGGGAAGTAATCAACTCAGGGGGAGTTTCTCCTAAACCTTTTGTTCTTTATTTTTACTTGAAAAATATAGTTTTTGTCATCATCAAAAAGGGGGAGATTGTTAGAACATAGTTTGATTCTACAACCCTTAGTTAGAGTTTTGATGATAAAAAATACAAAGAACAAATATGCACCCTAAAAATTATGTTTTTGTGTATGCAAAAGTTCTGACCAAAGCAGCATCAGAAGATAAGCCATAAGAGCTACACGCTGAAGCAATCAGAACATACGCTGAAGATTAATGACCAGAACCTGCGCTTAAGCAAAGTAAACTCTAATTCTGAACAAGAACAACATAATCCAAGTCATCAATATTCTGAAGCGTCAGCAGCAGGCAAGGATGTAAGATTCTGAAGCGTTACTGATCATTCAATACAACATCAATTCCAACGGCTTCTTTCAGACAGGATCTTCTCCAAATGGAAAGTGAGTTAATGACATTAAACACGCTTGATGATCAACATAAATCCATTGCCTATATAAACAAGCTTAGTGTTCAAATCGTTTACAATTTGCCAATACCACTAACGTGAACTCAAAAAGCTGCAAGCAATATTCATCATTTTTCAAGCTATAATTTTGTGTAAATTATCACAGTTGTGATAACAGTTTTTGTAACGAAAAACAACAACACACATTCTTGTATAATTGTTTTGAAACAGTGTTCCTTGAGATTAACCGAATTGTGGTTGTACTCAAGAAGACTTTAACAGTTGTTAAAGTAGTGATTGTAATCCTTTTGTGATTAGTGAATTAAGACCTCGTTGAAGAGAGGCGAAATCACCTTGACGGGTGGACTGGAGTAGTTTGAGATCAAATAAACCAGGATAAAAATACCGTTTCATTGTGCTTTTAATTTCAAGTTTTCAATTCAACCCCCCCTCTTGTGTTTTTCACATCTTCACAAGAGCTGCGTATGACTGAAAGAACTTCTGAGAGGGAAGTTGAACAGGCTCTGAAAGCTTCTTTTGTTAAGAAGGACCAGAAGTAGAAAAAACATGGTAGTTCCCAGAAGTCAAAAGTCTTCTATTATGATGAAAAGAAACATCATAAGGGAAAGAAGAAGTATGTAAAGAGAATGGTTTAGTGTTAGTGTTGTAATAGGTTTGGCCACTTTGCTAAAGATTGTTGGTCAAACAAAGAAGAAAAATAGCCAGAGGAGGTTCATATGATGAACTTGTGCTATTAATGGCTTATGAATCTGATGAGGAACCTGTGAGATTATCATTTTTTGATTCTGAAGGGGAAGATGGTGATTCTGAATATTCTGACTCTGAAGGAGTGTTTGAATATGAGTTAGAATCAGAAGATGACGCTGAAGATTCTGAAGATGAGTCAGAATCTGAGATTCCTGAAGATGAGTTAGAGTTAGAAGATGACTCTGAAGTTGAAGACATGTCAGAATCCGAAGGTGATTCTAAGTCTGAAGAAGAATCAGAAGATGAGTCATAATTTGAAGAAGATTCTACTTTGAAGATGAGTCAGAACTTGAAAGTTCTGAAGAAGATCTAGAGTCATAAGATGAAGAATCTTTTGGAGACTCTAAAGATGATTCATATGGTAAATCTAATTCTGATCCAGATTTTGAATCTGGTGGTGATCATGCTTCTAGAAGGGAAAACTCTGGAGAGATAAGTTCTGGAGGAAAAGCTTCTGAAGATGATCATGTTTCTGGTGATGGTCATGATTCTGAAGGTGGAACTTCAGAAGGTAGAGGTTCTGAAGGCAATTCAGAAGGTGGAACTTCTAATGGTGGTCAAGTATCTGATATTGTTCCAGAATTGGAAGAAGTTTATGAACAAGTTCATAGGCCACAAAGAATCAGACGAATACCAAGAAGGTTTTAAGAGTTTGACATGTTGCAAGACAGTGAAGTAGATTCAGAAGGAGAAATTGTTCAGTGTGCCATATTAGTAGATTCTGAACCTGTGAGTGTTGAAGAAGGTCTTAAGAAGAAAGTATGACTGAATGCCATGAAAGAAGAACTTGAGGCTATAGAAAGAAACAAGACCTGTAAGTTGACTAAGCTTCTAGATAAGAAGAAAGCCATCAACGCCAGATGGGTTTTCAAGGTGAAGCTTAAGCCAGATAGATCAATTGGAAAGCACAAAGCAAGGCTAGTGGCTAGAGGTTTTCTTCAAAAACCAGGGCTAGATTACTTTGAGGTGTTTGCGCCTGTAGTTAGACATGAAACAGACTTGTGATAGCTTTAGCTGTAAATAGATATTGGCCTCTGATGCATCTGGATGTGAAGTTTTCATTTCTGAACGGTCCATTACACGAAGAGGTATACGTGTCACAACCTCCTGGATTTGTGAAAAAAGAATCAGGAAGGGATGGTGTACAAATTACATAAAGCTCTGTATGGATTGAAGCAAGCGCACAAAGCTTGAAATTTGAAGATTGATTCATTTTTCAAGAAGCAAGGTTTTTAGAAATGTGAGATGGAATATGGTGTGTATATTCAGCATTCTGAAAGCAATATGATTCTGGTATGTCTTTATGTTGATGACATATTGCTGACGGGAAGCTGTTCTGAAGAAGTTGTCAAGTTCAAGAAGACTCTGATGAAAAAATTTGAGATGATTGACCTAGGAAAGCTGGTTTATTTTTTAGGGATGAAGGTATTGTACTCTGAATAAGGTATAATTTTGCATTAGATGAAGTATGAACTTGAGCTTCTAAAGAAATTCAAGCTGGAGAATTATAAGGCCGCTGTTACACCGTCAGAAACCAATCATAAATTGGATTTTGACTGAGGGTGAAGACGTAAATGTTACAATGTTCAAACAGTTGATAGGTTCTCTGAGGTATCTATGTAATACCATACCTGATATTTGTTATGCGGTTAGATTAGTTAGTAGGTTCATGAGTAAACTTAAGTGGTCTCATTACCAAGCTGCTATCAGGATTTTGAGGTATATCAAAAGAACTTTGAAGTTTAGAGTACTATTCCCTTCTGGAAGAAAAATAGATTAAGATTTGATGAGTTATTCTGATTCTGATTGGTGTGGGGATAGAGTTGACAAAAGAAATACTTATGGATACTTGTTTAAGTTTCTGGGAGGTCTTATTTTTTGGTGTTCCGAGAAGCAATTCGTTGTTGCTCTATCAACGTGTGAAGCTGAGTACATTGCAGGTGTTGTAGCTGTATGTCAAGCTGTGTGGCTTCTAAATTTATTGCAGGATATGAATATCAAGGTAGATAAGCCTCTAAAGTTGATGATTGATAACAAGTCTACAATCAATCTTGCCAAGAACCCAGTACTACACGGGAGAAGCAAGCATATTAAGACAAAGTATAATTTTTTCAAAAGTCAAATCCAAAACTGAGTACTAGAAGTTGTGCACCGTAGCACCCAGAAGTAGCTGACAGATATCACGACAAAGGCAATCAAGACGGATCAATTTCTTCGCTTAAAGAATGAAATTGGTGTAGTTAGTTTTAATTAGAAATCCTAAATTAAAGGATGATATTAAAGAATATTTTAGTATTTCTAGTTGTTTTGATAACTTAGTCATTAAGTCTATTCTATTAGGATATGTGTGACATTCCTTTTCTTTGTGTATAAATATATTAGTTATAAATATCATAAACAACCACATTTATTCCTCTTGCAGCTTTTACTACGGTCACATTCTCTTTGCATTCTTAAATTTATTTTTTGTTTATCATTAATACTTGTGCACTTATAATTATTCAATATTTTATTGGTGACTTAGTGGGTGTGGTTAATGTTGAACGTGGATCTACCTATAAATAATCAAGAGTTTGATAGATTCAATTTATTGGTACCATTTTCGCAACTCATGGGATTCCTTAAGAAAAAGAAAAGTCCTACCACAGTCAACCAGGACGAAGTTTTCTACGACGGGATCCCACGTTACGTCGAGGTGGACCGCGTCTTTGCCAACTCCGATGTCACCGCGCCGCCTGAGTTTCCCGAAATCACGGAGTCACCGCCGACGATGTTTTTTACGACGGAATCCCACGCTATGCCTACAAGCTTTAGCTCAAAGCAACCTACCGTTGTTAGTGTACCTTTAACCGTTTGTGTATTCCAGATATATTGCATATATATCATTATTGTAACTATTCTGCATAGTTATGCATTGTGTATGAATCAGTCCTAAAAGGTCTTGTGTGAAGTTATCATCTACTGAGTTTTTTCTATCTCAGGTATCGGATGTGAGTTCACGTTTGGGAAGAGCTACTAGACCAGGGAAAGTATTGGGTTTTTGGGACAGTTTTGGAAGCGCTAGCAGTAAGTTTGTTTCGGGGACTACAATTTCCATCTTAGCATTTGAGGTTGCAAACACTATTATCAAAGGTTATCATCTTCTGCAATCTCTTTCCACACAAAGTATTAGACATCTAAAACAAGAGGTGCTTCTTTCAGAGGCTGTCCATGATCTAGTGTCTAAGGATAAGGATGAGCTTCTTAGGATTGTTGCCGCTGACAAGTTGTAAGTATTGACCTTATTCGATTAATTAAATAACTTTAGCTTTTTGTTTTGTTTTACACTTTCACCACCCTTGGAAATATGAAACTTAGCTGTATATCATTTGGGTTTTCTTGTTAGGCAGGAGTTGAAACTTTTTCTTGATGAGGTGACTCGTTTTGGAAATCGTTCAAAGGATCCTCAATTGCGCAACTTAGATCTTTACTTTGAGAAGTAATGTAAATTGTACTTTCGTCTGATAAAACTTATTTACCTTTCATATATTTATTCTCGGCGTCTTTTTTTCTTTTACATTTTAGGATTAGCAATGAATCAAGTGCTCAAAGACTCTCGAGAGATGAGGCAGAATCATTAATGCAAGAACTGATGACTTCGGCCCAATTTACAGTTGTGAGTCTATTCTGTCATGTCACCAAATAAAATATGTAGTTTTGTTAGAAGATTCATAGTTAGTTGCATTTGAAGCTGGAAATATATGGAAATAAAACAAATGAATTGTGGTGAAAGTATTTGCAATAATAAAACAATTACCGAAGAGGCGAAGTTAAGTTTATATGCTATTTCTTATTATACCCTCTATATGGAAATAAAACAATGCTTTATTAAGTTTTTCTGCTCCATGCACTACTTTCCTTTTTATGAGGGATTATTTATTTGTAAATACTTTGGTAAATCAATTTTTCTGTGACCATAGGAGTTGTACCATAAACTTTCTGCGCTGAATAGACTTGAAGAAGATTTTTTGCTTAAGGGTGAAAAGGAGAATCAAAGAGGTAATTGTGGAATATCACCAATGGGCCATGATATAATATACAACTTAAAGTTTGTTCCTGTTAGTCTCTTACTATCTGATATATTATTTGACCATCAGTATCTCTCTTCCCTTTATAGGTGATAACCTTGCATTCTTGAGAGCAACATTTAAAAGTCAAAGGAAGCAAATTAAACATTTAAAGAAAAAATCACTCTGGTGTAGAAGTTTGGAGGAGGTAACTGCAGATTACTTTTTGAAGTGTTCATCTCATCCCTCACTATCCTAAAGATAATATAGGGAATTTCTTTTTTATTTGTAGAAGTGGGTCCATCTTGTACATTTCATTCACATATCAAAAACTGAGAAAAGTTGAGTAAAATTCATAATCTAATGAACTGCAGGTTATTGAGAAGCTTAGTGATATTGTCCTTTTTATACATTTAGAGATACGCAATAGCTTCGGGAGTGCAGGTCTGTGCCCACTAAAACTATTAGTTCGTATCGCTGTGATTAACTAATTAACATTTTTCTAGGTACTATGAAAATCTCAGATATGTTAGACTGTTTGCCTTATTTTGTAATTGATAAATTTGAAAGGAGTAAGAAGTGTTAGCTTTTTAGGACCAATTAGCTGCATTATGTGTATTTAGTCTCATCAAGTTATTGTTGCAATCAGTTTGTAGTGAAAGATGTATTTTGCATGCACGGGTACATGCAGATGGCCAAAAACCAATAATTGTACACATTGGCGATCGCCAAAGATTGGGCACCGCTGGCCTTGCGTTGCATTATGCAAATATAGTGCTTCAAATTGACACCCTTGTAAGTCAATCTATGTTATTGTATGTATTTCATTCCATGACTATTCTTTTATGTACCTTACCCTGAATCCGGTGAAAACATGATTGAGTTTCTAGAAATGCTTCTCTTATTGTCGTTTATGTATTGAATTTCTTCCCTGCTACTTGTCTACTTTTCTGTTATTTTCAGATTCATCTTGTTGGGTTAAATGTAAATTTCACCCTTTAATCTTTATTTCTTAAGAGGGAAAAACAACCACAAATCTGTTTTACATTGCCGAGTGTATGTTAATGCTTTCAGGTAGCCAGGTCTATTTCTATGCTTGCAAATAGAAGGGATTCATTGTATCAAAACTTGCCGCCCAATATTAAATCAACTTTGCGTTCCAAATTACCATCCTATCATGCTGTAGAAGAGGTATGATTAACCCCTTATACTTTTCATTATTACTGCTTTGTTGAAAAATCAGACAAAAAATTAGGGGTGGTATGGACTATTTAGAATAAATATAGAAAGGCTTTAGGTTGAAGCACCCTTTGCCTCTAGTCCACAACTCAACTGAAGATGGACTTTAGTTGGTTTTGTAGTCAAACTCAATTAACCATCTAATTAACATTAATAGTTAGCCACCCGTCGTAATGCGTTAGGATAAACAGAAAACAAACTGACAAAAACAGTTGCATATCAAGAAGATTGGCCTAACGTTAATCTTAATTAAAGGTCTGTTGCTAACACTTTGCTGTCTTGTTTACACAGCTAACTGTAGCAGAAATCAAATATGAGATGGAGAAAACATTACATTGGTTGGTTCCAATTGCCGCAAACACATCCAAGTAAGATGCTTTTTATCAGCTAGCTCCTAACTGGCCTTAATCATCAGTGTATTTACACTACATATAAGATAATCTAATTCTTTTGGTGTTTTAAAATTGGTTCAGAGCACATCATTGTTTTGGTTGGTTAGGGGAGTGGGATAACACAGCGTAAGTAGCTTGTCCCTACGGTTCTTCTATTTTGAATTACAAATTTATGTGTTTTTCCCTATTGTATTTTCTGATTTTAAATACTTCCTGGTTCTTGAAGCTCTGAAGTGGATAAGAAAGTTTTCCAGGGCGGTGTAATGCGGATCGAGACATTCCACTATGCCTATAAAGACAAAGTAGAACATTATATTCTTCAACTTCTCTTATGGCTTCACCGCTTGGCCATCAAAAGCAAGATTGGTAATAGGGGTTTGCATGGTTCATAAATCAATATTGAATTGGATCATGTTAATAGTTTGGTTCAGTTCTTAAAATTCACTTTCATAAAAAAAAAATCAATAAATTTTTAAATCAGTTTTTGTTCTGTTAAAAACCGGTTCATAACTGGTTTGTATTTATAAACCTTCATTAGGGTGCATTACTTTGAAGTTCCATTCCATGATGTAGAATGAAATGTACTTGGAACAATTTAATGAGAGTAGTATGCTGTTTTATTTATAGCTTGGTAAAAATCAACTTCTGCTTTGATAAAAGGAATAATACACTAGAATTAGTTATCCTAATCCTAGTACTTTGCCTTGCAACTTGAATTTTTGGATCTTCTACGGGGCTTTTCTTGATGTGTGTTTGTTTCATCTTATGCTGACTTATCTTATTCAACTTCCTTTTGGCTCATTACAGTACCATCCCATTTAAACAACCATGTCCTTGTCTTCAAGGTTGAAGTTCGGAACTCGTTGAATAGTTTTGAATAAATAGGAATGTTGTGCCAATTCATATATAAGAATGATTCTCTCTTAAAAAGGAAAAATAAAATATAAATAATTATATCAATACTAATAAATCGAGAATAATCAACATTTTTTTCTTAAATTAGAATAGTGGTATAATTGAGTAAGGTTCGTCCATCGCCCCAAGACTTTACTCAATTTGTGGTTGTTCAGAAATCTAGAAACTTTATGTTTGGAGAGTGGTATAGTTGATCATGTTGTACACGATATTTAGAAGAAGTTTTAGTGAATTGTTGAGAATTTTACTTGTCACCTTCTAATTATACCTGATACCTTTTATTTTTTATTATTTGAGAATTGTCTTTGGTAAAATGAAAATAATTTTTTTCGAACGAAATTTTTGATACTAAACGCCAAATTTTCGATACAGACTAAATTTCTGGTAATTCATATGAAAATTCCGATACCGTTAAAATTTTCGGTAGATCATTTTGAAATTTCCGGTGTTAAATTTTTTTGGAAATTTCAAACTTACCATTTCGTACCTGAAATTTTCGATAGTGTATTGATTTAGAATTTTTAACAATTAGGATTTTGTCGACATCTTTGGAGGATTCTGATTGCACCGACAAATTTGTGTGGTCTAGTATGAATCATCATTTGTATAATATGGACATATGTTATAGAGAAAGACATCTAAAAAAATGTCTCTTCCTCAATTTCTGATTAAGGAGAAAGTGTATTTCAACAGAGACAACCCTCATGTTGAATTTGAGCTTTCAAATGGTGCCACATCCCTCGCTAACTTGACAGACAAGTTGGATGAACTGGTGTCTAATGTCGATAACAGAAGGGTGAGAAATATCGAGTTTCACAAAGATTGGATTGATAGTAATGAAAGGGTGAAATACAACCTGATTGAGTTGAAAACCGACGAAGATGTAAAGGCCATGTGAAAATCATTCTACCGTAGGATAACTAAGGGTCTGATCGACTTGGATGCACATATTACAAGATCTGTCAACGACATAATCAAGATGTTGAAACGTCTAGAATCATCTGGTAGTACCTAGGTTTTCACTTTTCGTTTTTTTAATTTATGTTTGTTGTATTGTTATATGTTATGTTTATCTTTAAATCGAAACATGTAACCGCCAAAAAATTATGCAATAAATAAGTACGGTGATAAGAAGTTTGTGTCACAAATACATATAATACAAGCAAAATATAATATGTCTACATAGATCTCCCACAAGCTATCTCTGTTAGCCTAGATAAACCTATAAGAACCTCATCATTCGGGTTTATCAAATCCATGAGGCTATTATGCAATCAACTAGAGGCGGCTATTCTGGTTACATGCGGGAGGTGGAGGTGGTGGTGGCGGCACGTCGCCAGCCTGTATCTCAACATCAGAAACCCTAGCACTAGAAGGCCACAGAGCATTAGAAGACCCTGTAGTCTGTGGTATGAGGCGAGGGTGTGATATATTATGATGCCACTCTAAGTAACCATCCTCTCATTGTGAAGGGTACTGAACTGTAATTGTGTTATCCCTGATGGCACAAGAAAAGTTGATGATGTGACTCTGAAACCATCTGTCAATGCCACGGGGTGCAGTCTCTAGAACTGGACGAGAGATTCCATGGACATAACCATACTGTCGTAGAAACCTTTGAGGAAAGTGTCTAGCCACGTGGGTCTTCAACCTCAAATTCCCTAAATACAAGGAAGTGTCATCAAATGTACGATGGGGACGATGAGCCGTGTATAGTGTCCAAATGACATCATCTACTGTAAGAGCATCAAGCCTCCTTCTGTACTCCATAATACCTCTTGAATGCATTTTCCTGCCCTTCCATCTCCTCGCCCGTGGAGCACTCGCTGGGACACGTTGTTGTCTCTTATCACAGACATTATGCTCATATATCCGGCACTGAATAAATATAAACTAATTAATATCACATACAACAAATAACTAATAGACTCAAATAAATAAATAAAACCAACAAATAAATTCTAGTATATATCTATAATAGGCTCAAATAATCATCTAGTTGTCTGGTCTAAGGCTGTGAAGTAACTCCAAGTGTCGTGTACAACATGGTCAACGCCACCACTCCTCAAGCTCAGCATGGAGTGTATAGGTTATTGAAAAATCACAAGTATCGAACATCAATATAAACACTAGACTTGTATGCAAAGAGAGTACATGTCATTAGATGTAGCATGTACTCCCTAGCGACAGTCTCATACCTCTATGTCTCCACGTGCTCTATGTATCTGTCACACAACCAAGACATATGAAGGTGCAATCCTTTGTTAAACTCAAACTCTGCCAACAACACAACCTCAGTGACCTCCAGATCCTCTACAACCTGTATTAACGTCATCGTCTGGTTAATATAAGGAATAGTGAAGAATGTACCAGCGATGGAGAGATGAAATAACGAGTAGACATCATCCAATGTAATAGTTATTGAAGATAAAATAATGATGTCTCAGGGTGCCACCACTCAACCAAAGCTGATAGGAGGGAGGCGTCGACCATGATAAGTGAGCACTCGATGAACTCCAACAGACTAAAATCAGAAACAATACACATGACATGCTCATGCATCGGACCCTCTGGTAAGTTCTTCAACTTCGAACCATGGGATGTGATCTTCAGCGTCGGACACTCCTGTAAGAAATAAAATTAAAAAAAAAGTATCAATAAACTTTCAGATAGTTAATCGAGGCATAATGAATAATTCGCAATAAAAAATATAACATATATACCTCGTCTTGCCATACTTTGTATGCGACATGGTCAACATACCTTGTGAGTAAGGACATGTCAATAGGTCCTCCTGAAAAGGCTCCATCAGTGTTAATTGATGGTTTTGTAGACGCACGAGTCGTTGTATTTGTATTAGTAGGAGACATTTCATCAACTACCTCATCCACAAGAACCTACTCGACCACCGCATGAACCTCCTCAATAACAACTTCCACAGTTGGTATCTCAACAATTACCTCCTCCACAACAATCTTCTTAGTGGGTACCTCAACAGCTGGCTCCTCTAGAGGTACCTGCTCATCCCCAGCCACTGGAGCTGTAACACCCCAGTTTCAATTATTTGATTTATTTAAATTGGGAAATTATTTTATTAGAATTAATAAAATAAAAAGGAATTATCTATTTTGGAATATTTGAAGAAAATAAAAGAAATAAGAAAACATTGGGTTTTTAAGTTATTGGGCTTGGATGTCGTAGTAAAGAGTGGGGGTGCAAAAGAAATAAGGATATATTTTGGAACTCAAGTTATTTTCTCATTATTCACGATAACACAGAATTTGGGAAATTTGGGAAGCTGAGCTCTGAAGGTGCGAAGAACGAAGAACATCGCTCAAAGAACTCAAGCTGCAATTTGATAAGGTAAGGGGGGCTACTACTCAATTTATATTTGCTTATGGGTTTAGATGCAATCGGTTGGGTAATCGTAGGATAACCCCATTTTCTCTGATGTTCTTAGTGATTGATAACTTTAGGGTCGAATTTTGTTAGAAAAGATTAGGTTCCCTAAAGGTTGTGAATCGATTAAGAAATTAATCCCTATTGTTGATTTAGATCGAAATTGTATGATCGTGAGTTTACCTTAGGTGTTCTAAGGATAACCTTGAAGGATTTGAGTTATTCAATTTGTGGGAAATTGATGAACATAGGTCGGAAGTATAGGGAATTGATGTTTTGGAAACTTGATGTGTATTTGGATGTTTTTGTACTGCATTGCACTGCTGTAGAAAGGTATTTTCGTGCAAATATGTTGGCATATGAGCTGCTGCAAGTACAGGAATTTCCGGGCTCGCGCTCATCAACACGGGCCGTGTTGATTCACACGGGCACCCGTGTTGATCTACTGGATGGGTAAAGAAAAATGTGTTTCCAGACACATTTCAACACGGGCCGTGTTGATTCACACGGGCACCCGTGTTGATCCACTGTATTGGCAAAATAACGTGTTTCTGGACACATTTCCACACGGGCAGTGTTGATTCACACGGGTACCCGTGTTAAACCTCCTGTGTTGGTTTCTGAATTTTGTTTTCTGTGCATGCTGTTATGTACGGGATTGATCCTGTTTTGATGTGCAGTGTTTGATATGTTTTGAATATGCTGTTTATTGATTTCCTAGTGTTGATTGATGCTTGCATCGAATAACGATTGTATGTTATGATACCAACACTACGTAAATTTTATTGTCATGCTTTTAGATAATGTTATCAAGCATGAATTATGATATAACTTGATATGATTGGTTGATGTTTAATAGTATGCTGAGTGATTACATGCTATTCATATCGTGTTGTATTTGATATTGTTGATGTTACATGATATGGTTTATTGATGTTAATAGTATGCTGAGTGTTACATACTTTACATATGTTGCATTTGTTAATTCCCATTGTGTGGAATTAACATGGTGGCCAATATACGTGTTCGCGATTTAATGGAACGTTGAGGTGGTAGCCGTGTCCGCGATATAATGGAA